AACAGGAGCAGGAGACAGAAGGGTGAGTGGTTTTTTATTTGCTTTCAGCGGAGAGGATCCAGCTGAGGATTTTGGTGGGAGAACTGGTCTGGGAGTGTGTGGAAGCGCTTGGAGTTTTTGCAGATTCCTGGCTGCTTGAGAGAGGAAAGGGCATTGTTTGACTGTGATTGACTGCAATTGAGAGGAAAAGGAAGGGGCATTGTTTTGCATGTGATTGAGTGCCTGGGTGCATTTGAATAGCTGCTGCCAGCACTCTGCTGGGGGAGGCCTCTATTTAAGGAAACACCTGGCCAGAGGCAGAGGAGACCCAGCTGAGCTCTGAGCAGGAACAGGAGCAGGAGACAGAAGGGTGAGTGGTTTTTTATTTGCTTTCAGCGGAGAGGATCCAGCTGAGGATTTTGGTGGGAGAACTGGTCTGGGAGTGTGTGGAAGCGCTTGGAGTTTTTGCAGATTCCTGGCTGCTTGAGAGAGGAAAGGGCATTGTTTGACTGTGATTGACTGCAATTGAGAGGAAAAGGAAGGGGCATTGTTTTGCATGTGATTGAGTGCCTGGGTGCATTTGAATAGCTGCTGCCAGCACTCTGCTGGGGGAGGCCTCTAGGCTTGCCTGGGCTCCCCACAGTCGTGGGGCGCCCGGGCAATCCAAGGTAAGGCATGGGGTGTGGCCTAATACGCTAATGAGCTGTGTTGTCAGGGGTGTGGCCTAATATGCTAATGAATTTCTGCTATTGGGTGTGGCCTGTTATGCTAATGAGTCCCTGCTGGGCTTTTTCTACAAAAAAAGCCCTGGCGGTGCTCATCTCCATTTCCAAGCTGTCCAAAAACACTTCCGTGGTCATGTGGCTGGCATGACTAGACACTGAGGTGCACGGAACACTTACCTTCCCACAGAAGCTGTACCTATTTATCAACTTGCAATTTCTTGCTTTTGAACTGCTAGGTTGGCAGGAGCTGGGACCAAAGACAGGAGCTTACTCCATCATGCGGCACACTCGGGTCTCGAACTGCTGAACTACCGACCTTCCAGTCTGCAGTTCAGTGTCTTAACCACTTGAGCCACCACAGCCCTTATGCCATTAGTAGCCATAACCATTTCTTAAGTTGTGCCCCTAGGCCTTTTCTCATGGGATTTGGCCTTGGACACCTTCCTGCTAGGCTAGCTTAGATAAGGCACCATATATCTGTCAGGGTTAGTAACCGTAAAGTTCTTGGGTAATATGCCTCATCCGTTGAACAACACCCAGTCGTTGTTTATGGAACAGCTTTATTTGGTAGAAGGAAATGCCAGAAGTTGAGGGCAAAGAACAACATCACACCAGCTGAGAGTCAGACGAAACACCCCATTGTATCAGGTTAAACACATTCCACTATAATGGAAAACTACCTACTTAAAGGTACAAACACATTGCAGTAACACTAGGGGCTGACTGATGACAAATGCATGGGGTGGGAGCTGCATTTGGTTTTACCTATAACCTGAGCTTTTTCGTGCGCTTTTTTTAGTCCTGACAAAATTGAAGTCCCTGATGTAAACGTATCTCTAATAAAGCATCAATGCCAATGCCAATGGAGAGTGTATTAACTGGGAACCTGACAGTTGGATCCAAACCTTGCTTTTTCTCTGGTGGAAGTACCCTTCTGCCAGTGGAGAAAGTGGAGCCATTTTCAGCGATTCTCTCCTCCCAATGCAGATTTCTACAGTTCCCTCAGTGCAACTGCTGGGGGGGAATGTTCCCTGAGGGGAAGCGGGAAGGTTATGGTCCACTTGCTGAGCTCTAGTCATGCTAATTTGGTCCACGTGAATGCTTCCCTTAATCCACAGGTGCAGTTTCCAACAGCTTCCCCTTCCCCTATCAGGCTCAGGTAAAGGTTCCCTCGCTTGAAAGCCAGTTGAGTCCGACTCTAGGGTTGCGGTGCTCATCTCTGTTTCCAAGCTGAAGAGCCAGCGCTGTCCGAAGATGTTTCCGTGGTCATGTGGCCGGTATGACTAAACACCAAGGCGCACGGAACGCTGTTGCCTTCCCACCGAAGTGGTACCTATTTATCTACTTGCAATTTCTTGCTTTCGAACTGCTAGGTTGGCAAGAGCTGGAACTAGAGACAGGAGCTCACTCCGTCATGCAGCAACTCGGGTCTTGAACTGCTGAACTACTGACCTTCCACAGCCTGCAGTTCAGCATCTTAACCACTTGAGCCACTGCAGCTCCTAATTATCAGGCTTAAGCACCCCTTAAAAAGCCACTGCTGACTGTCAGCAAGGCTTCCAGAACAATACATCATGTGGGGGGGGTGAAGCAAGAAGAGGGAACCATCCCCCCTCCTTCCAATACTCTGAATGTAATACCAAAGTATACGTATTTTTACATATACTTTTAGAAAAATATATTCAAAAATTCCAATCAATAATATAGAGAAAAATCAAATTAGATACACAACTTTTCACAATCCAAAATGATACTGAGCAAGTGAATTTCGACTACAATCAGATGGGTAGGGTTGAACTTTGACCTCAACTCCAAAAGCTAGAAGTTCAGACTTCGATTTCAAAAGCTGAATATGAATATGAGTTGAACTACAGTTAATCGCTTCAATGTTATTTCAGTTGAAATTTAGCTTTTGAAATCACAGTCTGAAATCCAAGTTGTACTTTTTGAAGCTGAAATCAAAGTTCAGCCTTACCTACCTAACCACAGCTGAAATTCAGCTTCTGTGTTATCTTGCAAATTGTACAATTTTGATGGCCTTTTTATTTTTCTCTGTATAACTGATTGTATCCATATTTCTGTACACATCTATAAATGTACATATATAAGTACACACACTTAGAGCAAACGGAGAAGTTACAGTGACCACAGGTCAAACCCTTGGCTGTCAAAGCCATTTTAGAGAAATATTTGGCCATTTAAAAATGCTGTGAATCGGGCCCTTAGCATGGTGAGACCAGGCAATCTTGTACCTTGCCCACACCTTTTCAAGTGCCAAAACTTGGCTGTTTTGACACTTGAAAAGGCATGGGAGGCCACATTTTTCTCTAAATGGTATTGGAGGCCACAGGTTGGGCCCTGCCCTGTCCACCATAACATCTAGTTTGGCCCTCAGTGTACTGATTATGATCCTCTCTTTCTTTACTTGGATTATTTTGAGGTCCCTTTTCCCCTGTTTTTCTGCTGCATTTGGACAGTGAATGCTGCCATTAAATGTATGGTTTAAATTTCAGAACCCAGTAGCTGGACCATTTTCACTAGCCTAAGTTACAGCCTCATTCAGTGCTATAATGCTGTTTTCAGAAGTATCATTCAAACTGTGGCTCAAAGTATCATGAAACCCTCTGAATGCAACAAGATGCTGTATGGTTGGGCCCAGAAATCTTACCCAAAAAGTCTTCATTACCCAGAATGGAGATCACTGGATCATACCACTGAAATCAGATTTTTTAAAGGTAAAAAAACATAATTAGCACAATTTAAATGTTGGTCACAAAAGCATCAGAAAGATAGATGAATTATTGAAAACTGGAGAATGTGGAGAGCAGCATTAATTAGCTACTGAGAGATCAGATGCTGAGAGATCAGACACCTCTCAACTAGACTAGAAGGCAAAATCTAAAGGACCACTGTAGATTCTTCATCATTTCAGCCCAAAATAATAAACTGAAGCATTTAAAGAATAACATTTCAAGCCTAGATATGGTTAAAAAAACTGACTTGAAGACTGCAAATATGAGGAATCCCATCACTTGAATATTAACATAGGAATATTAGGCATTAAGATTTGGGGGTGAAGCCTGGGGAGGACAGGGACCTCATGGGGGTACAATGTCATAGAGTTCACCCTCCAAAGCATCTATTTTCTCCAGGGGAACTGATCTCTGTAGTCTGGAGATGAGGTGTAATTCCAGGGGATCCCTAGGTCCCATCTGGAGGTTCGCATCCCTAAGTAAAGGCCTCAGATTGCTTTTAAGTCCTAAATAAAGAGTATTTACACAGATATGAGGTGGAGTGTTCTCATTATTCAAATTTCTTCCCTCCCAATTTTTTTTCTGGATTATTTTATACTAGGAAAAAGGCTCGTTGTGGAAATAAATACAACAAGCTCTAGAAAGAGGCTCTGGACGGGTGCCCTGGCCTTGGACACTCAGTGTCAATTTGCTGTGGCGACCTCAGCAGGGTATAATGACACTGAGTCCACCATTTTCTCCAGAGGAACTGATCTCTGCTACCTAAAGAACAGTTGTAATTCTGAGTGATCTCCAGCCCTCACCTGGAGATTGGCAACGATGGCTCCCCAGGAGGGAATGGTTGGTTTGGAGGGTGGAGTCTATGGCTTTGTACCTGTCCGAGGTCCCACGCCTCCTGAAACCTCACCCTCTCCAGGCTCCACCCCTCACACCTCCAGGAATTTCCCACCTGGAGTTGGCAACCTTATCTCCTTCCCAGCCAATCATCAACCTATCTTTATTTCCTCCTCACTCTTCAGCTTTCCACCCCCCACACACCTGCAGCCTCTCCCATGCTCTGAAGCCCTGACTGCTACGTCACATTGGCTGTCATACGGGGGCCACCTCAGCAGCATATAAGGATACAGAGCCCACCATTTTCTCCAGGGGAACTGATCTCTGCCATCTGGAAAGCAGTTGTAATTCTGAGTGATCTCCAGCCCTCACCTGGTGATTGGACACATTTTACCTCAGAACAGCAAACTGTTTAGAATGTTAGAGGCAAAAGTCAATCAAGTCGCATATGCAAACGACCTCTGTGTTCCGAGGCAAAGGCCAATGAGGCTGCATATGCAAATAACCTCTGTGTTCTGACTGGCTATAGGGGGGAGAGGAACAGCAAACTGTTTAGAATGTTGGAGGCGAGACTCAAGCAATGCAGCCAGTGGATAGGGACAAATTCTGAGTGACACACCAGGGCGCCAACCAATTACGGAGCGTGTGGAATGTTCTAGAGAAGTGCCACCACCATTCGGCTTTTATTTATATTATTTCATATTCCTACCTCAAGCAGCTTGGGAGCTCTGCCTAGCTGCTGAATAGCCACAGCCAGTAATTTCCCACTCAAAGCCTGACGCAGGAAGTACCGTCCTCGGCCTTGTGCTGTGAGCACCTTCTCACAAGAATTTGTTTTCTCAGTCATGATTGACAGAAGGGTTGTACTATATTGGGAAAGAGAAGACAATGTTACACTGAGCTTTATTTGACTTTTCAACTTGCTTTAACAAAAAGGAATGTTACCCAAGTTCCACTCAAAATTGGAATGATAACAATTCAGGCTGAGAAATTATGTGCCCCCTTCAATTCCTGCCTGAATACATCATAAGGATCAGCAGTAAGTATTACAGGAATAATAAATTCTGCTCCAGAGGAAAATACTTCCCCCCAGCATGGCTACTATATATGCTTGAAACAAGATAATGAGAAAGCAAAACACACAAATTAGGGCTCGAGGCCTGATTAACACTACGAGCACCTCTAATTATGGCACAACTTTAGTACAACACTTTATGGATTACAAAGTAACAGGTTGAAGAAAAACAGTGTGGGCAAGACAAGAAGCGGAAAACCAAGATTCTTTTGTTTCTTACATTTTTACCTTACCCTTCCCCCAGTAAGCTCAGTTTCCAATGGCCTTTTATCCTCACAGCAATCCTGTGAGACAGGTTAAGCTGAGAGATGGTGACTGGATTATGGTCAGCCTATTAACTTTGTGACTAAATGGGGATTTGGACCAAGACAAGTTAACATTTTACCCACTGGCCCACATTGGCTCTCTCTCTGTCTTATCTCTGTGGCCTCACAAGCTGCCGCTACAGACCACTTACTTGTATTTGGTCACCTGGTGAGGAAGCTGTTCTATCCAGTGCCAATAGTCTCTTTTCTTGAAACCCAGAACTGGTTCTGCAGAAAACAAGAACACTTTCTTTGACAAAACTGGTAAACTGTTACCTTGCACAACCAAAACCACTGGTATTATTTTTATGTTTTTTGTAATGCAGGGAGATTTTGATATCCGCACAAAACTAGCTCTGAGGAAATGGAAATTAGAGCATATTTACATCAGGCATCACCACTGGGGATTCAAAGTGGTGTTGTTGGTTGCCACTGTTACAACAATCGGAAAGATGTAATGATTGTATAACCTCTACACATTTTGCATGCAGCTTTGTCAGGGGAAATCTACCAAAATAATGCAAATATTAAAATATATTAAATACATCATTTCAAAAACAATTCAAACATATTAATAAAACACAGGACAATTTCACAAAGCATGTAAAGAGTGCAATTTATAATAAGTAATTAATATTAAGACAACTGAACAGTGAAGCGATGCTGCAAGATGGCGGATGCAGATTTGTAGCGCTCCTGACTCCCTTCCTTCTTGTGCTTCAAATCACCAGACGTAAGTCAACCACCTACTTTCTAAACCATGGGGGGAAATAGCGGACCTAAAATAAATCCTTCACAAAAGGAAACAACAACAGTAAAATCATATTTTTCACCTGGAGAGCCAAAGAGCCCTGACGCAGATGCAGCCTCCAACCTCAAAATAGTGACCAGCACAGAACCTGCTGATAACATTGCCTTCTACTTAAACAAAGAGGACTTAAATGAACTCAAAGATGACTTAACGAAATCTTTCAGAGATTCTGTGGCTGAAATGCTAGAACCTATCCATAATAAGCTCAATGAAGTTACCAAAGAAATTAAAGAAACCTTGAAAACACCTGAAAGGGCAATGTCTCTTGGAGAAACTCTTCAAGAAGACATTAAAGCTTTGCAAGATAAGGAGCAAACTATATTCAATAAAATAGCAATGTTGGAATACAGATGAAGACAACAAAACTTAAAATTTCCGGGAATGGCAGAAAATGCGGAAGAGACTACTGATCTTGCTATTTTATTTCAACATGGCTAGCTAAAGTACTAGCCCTCAAAGACGGTTTAGCACCAGCAATAGCCCACGCATATCGACTTGGCTCCCTGGCTTCAGCTCAACGTGGCCGCCCCAGAGACATAATAGTACAATTCGTATACCCAAGAATGCGGGACAGAATTGTCTGGGAGGCGAGAAAGCAAGAATCCTTACTATACAATGGCAAGAAAATAAGAGTATTGCTCGACTTGCCTCCAAAGGCATTGGACAAAAGAAGGCAGCTGAAAGTATTTTCCACAAAATTCTACAATGCACAAATCCGTTTTCATTGGAGCCAAAATTCAGACATCTTGATCTTCAGGGAAGGCACAGTAATACAAGTGTCTCATATTGAGTCCGGAAAAAAGCTTCTGTCCTCACTGAACCTGAGCCTTATACCCGAAGAACAGCTTTATCTAAGCACTCCTAAAAGACAGACACCATCTACTCCAACAAAACCTGATGCCATAATGAAGCGAGACAGATTTTATATGATCAAGTATAGTTAATAACTAGGGGCTTTGCTAAAACAAGAAAGAAACCTGTATAACTTAGATATGGGTCATTTAGTGAGTTACAATACCTTTACAAGTTTGATATTTATGCACTCTTTGATTAATACTATTACATAATTGTCCCTTGATATATATAATGGAATTAGAACTAAAGTAAGTGGTTGGTTAAGAGATTTTTGAGTTTGTCATAATGCATTATATAAAAAAAGAAAGAAAAAGAAAGGAAAGGGAAAAAAGGACAATCATATAAAAATTTGTACTTTTATTCTTTTTTATCTAGTTAAGTAAGATGAGTAAAGGGTAAATTATAATTAAAACTAAAAGAAAAATATAGAGGAGTTGGGGGTATAGGAACATAAGAACATAAAAGAAGCCAATGATGGATCAGGCCAATAGCACATCTAGTCCAACACTCTGTCACACAGTGGCCAAAAATACCAGGTGCCATCAGGAGGTCCAGCAGTGGGGCCAGGACACTAGAAGCCCTCCCACCGTTGCACCCCCCCCCCAAGCACCAAGAATACAGTACATCACTTGTCCCAGACTGAGAGTTCCTATCTATACCTTGTGGCTAATAGCCACTGATGGACCTCTGCTCCATATGTTTATCTAATTCCCTCTTGAAGCCGTCCATGCTTGTAGCTGCCACCACGTCCTGTGGCCGTGAATTCCATGTGTTAATCATTTTTTGGGTGAAGAAGTACTTCCTTTTATCCATTCTAACCTGACTGCTCAGCAATTTCATTGAGTGCCCATGAGTTCTTGCATTGTGAGAAAGGGAGGAAAGTATTTCTTTCTCGACCTGCTCTATCCCATGCATAATTTTATCAACCTCAATCATGTCACACCTTAGTCATCGTTTCTCCAAGCTAAAGAGCCTCAAGCGCTTTAACCTTTCTTCATAGGGATAGTGTTCCAACCCTTTCATCATTCTAGTTGCCCTTTTCTGCACTTTTCCAATGCTATAATATCCTTTTGAGGTGTGGTGAGCAGAACTGTACACAGTATTCCAAATGAGGTCGCATCATTGATTTATACAGGGGCATTATGATATTGGCTGATTTGTTTTCAATTCCCTTCCTAATAATCCCCAGCATAGCGTTGGCCTTTTTTATTGCAGTCGCACACTGTCTCGACATTTTCATTGAGTTATCTACTACGATTCCAAGATCTCTCTCTTGGTCGGTCTCTGCCAGTACGGACCCCATCAACGTGTATTTATAGTTAGGATTTTTGGCTCCAATGGGCATCACTTTGCACTTGGCCACATTGAACCCCATTTGCCATGTTGACGCTTCACTGCTTACTTGTCCTTTTATTTCGTGACTATTGAGTTTACTTAGGAGCCTTTGATGAGGAACTTTGTTTAAACTTTACCCTTTTTAATATTGTTATTCACTTATGTTATTTCGAACATATAACATTGTTAAATATAAACGTTATCACTATAGTTATAACTTGTTTTTAATAACTGAGAAGTGTCTGGTTATATATTCTATAAATGGTTACATGAGTAGGAGGAAGGGGGATAATCTATTTAATTTTTACAGTGCACCATAGTTTGATTTCCCCCAAGAGTGAACTACGTGATATATTCAGGTAGGGGAAACAGAAACAATCTCCCTTATTGACCTCTCCCTTAGTCGAGGGCCCTAAATTGTTAGCCTATTTTTATGGCTTGTCGTTGTTGCTGCATTGTTCTATTTTAAAAGAGAGGGATTGTAATCCTTTATTTAGCTTGAGTTGTAGGCTGGCAGTACTTTCCTTCATGGTTTGACTTTTAAATGGAGATTTTTGAACCGTTAGCCTACTTTTAAGGCTAGCCTGGTTGTTTTGTGTTATTCAATATAGGAGGGAAGATTTAGTATTTTTTTCTCTTAGGTGGCATTGTAAGAATAATTTAGATTTTCTACTAGATTCTTTAGAATATTAACAACTGAGATAGTTGGAATTAAGAATATCTCAAAATTATAAATTTATAACTTGGAATTGCAGAGGTTTAAACAACTCTATAAAGTTAAGAGTATCAAATCTCACAAATAAAGAACGTCTACATTTTCTATGTTTGCAGGAAATGCACTTTAAATAAGTTAACACACAGGTACTGAAATTTAGTTGGTTTGCTCAGTCTTATCAAGCTCCCAGCCCATCAAAAGCACGGGGAGTTGCAATACTAATCTCAAAGACTGTTCCATTTCAGGTACAACAAGTTGAATGGAATTTACCAAAGGATAGAAATCCAAGGATACATTTAAACCCCTTTTTAAAATTTACACTGGAGTTGTGGGACAAATATTGGAAAGTTTTGGTACCCAATAGCTCACCTGTGTCAGCTTTTTTGGGACAGCAATGGTTTGAACCAGGTAGAGACATAGAGTCATTTAAGAGCTGGAGAGAAAAAGGAGTGTTTAGACTGTGTGATATTTGCCATCAAGGGAAATTATGGACAAGAGAACAACTTGAGCTAAAATACCAACTTAAAATACCGTGGCTGTAACACTACGTTACTCCACATGGTAAGCACTAATGACTTAAAAACACAATTGGATAGACCCTTAATGTTATTTGAAAAACTAATTAAAGAAGGTATAAATGGTAGAAAGAGGAATATTAAGATTATTTATTACCAACTAAATCAGCCTACTTCTCAGCAACTTGTGTGGCAAAAAGATTGTCAAATACAGTTAACTGATAAACAATGGTTAA